GCCACAGTCGAGCGCTTCCGCTGCTTCCGGTCGTGCGTATGTGGGGTAAAGCAGCGGAGCTTTTATTATGCCACAGTCGATTACTTCCGCTCCTTCCGGTCGTGCGTATGTGGGGGAAAAAGCAACACTGTTTTATCATACTAGATACATTTGAAAGTTCTGTTATAATGCTACTCTGTGCGGTCGTCACCGGTCTATTAAAACGCATAACATATTAAAGCATCTTTGGTGTTTCCATGTTTTCTACAAAACAAAACCGGAAATTGAGGGGTTATGACGTCATTGGCAGGCGACACAATGACACTATAGACACGCTCCGAGAAATTGCTTATTTCTCTGGATTTAAACATTCTTCGAAACATTTGGAATAATGTAAGTACACAAGTCAGCAAAATATATAACACTGTTCTAGTGGTTTTTGGATATTTTAATAAAATAATCTTACATATTGTGCCTTTTAGTGTGAACTGAATGTAATATTTTCAGACTCTTAAATGCATGTTATTTACATTTGAATGAAAATGTATTATAGTTTAAAATCATACGAAATGCAGCTACATTAGTTGAAGAACTCAAGAGCTTTTTTAAGTACATCTTTAGGTGTAATTTCATGAACACTTCTGCTGTCTTTGAAATGTGCTGTTATAATATGTTTAATCTCAGTCTTCGGAGTCCCTGTGTGTAAGTCCATTTTGTGACATGTATGTCAAAAGTTTTTATGTCATTGCTGTTGTTACAGAGAGAATTTGCAGTGCTATAAAGAGAGCTGTTCAGCTCAGGTGGAGAAGTTGGAAAAAGAAGTGGATGGACTGACTCAGAGACTCAGACAGACCCTGATGGATCATTTCAAATCTGAGGTCAAGGTGGGCCTAACTGCAGATATATATAATGTTCTCAACTAACTTATTGTCTTAAAGGCTTAATTCTCCTCAAATGAAAACTTGCTGACAATGTACTTACCCTCTAGCTTTCCAAAATGTAGATGAGTTTGTTTCTTCATCAGAACAGATTTGGAGATTTGTTAATATATAGACTAGAATCATGTGGTTTACTTTTGGATTATTATGATGTTTTTATCAGCTGTTTGGACTCTAATTCTGATGGCACCCTTAAAGCTAAATTTCTCCAAATCTATTCCCATGAAGAAACTCATCTACATCTTGGATAATGTTTGGAGCTACATTTTTAGATCATTTTATTTTTTTAGATAAACTCTTCCTTAAAGTTCCTCCTAATCTGAAATTCTTCATAACTAGTCAAGAGCATTATAATGTTTAAATTATAACTAACTACAGTGTCATTTCTTCCCCAAAGCCTTACATGGATGGCATGATGACAAAAAAATGGCTGAAAACAGATGAAGATTTTAAAGAAGTGATTTCTAGATTAGATAATTATTCTGGGCTCTGTAAATCCATGAGAGCTCCATCAGTCCAAGTGAGTCTCCACTGATCTGCTCAGAGATGCTTTTTAATAGCAGCTGCAGAGAGCCACTTTAAACACAGTGTCTATGTTTACAGATTTTTGTGAATGATATGCACTATTATGTAGCCAAAGAATATGTCTCCCAGCTGATGAAGAAAAAATATTCATGCAAAAAACCCAAAAACGAAGATGCTGCCATAAAATTGAAAGAACAGTGGAATGAACTCAGGAAACTATTTATGCAAATGGTAAGATACAGTCCAGTATCAAACAGTGTGAAATATACAACAGTTTTTTTTTCAAGGTAGATGCACTGAAAACATTATTCTGTATTTAGGGATCATCCTTAAAGTGGCTTTATCCATTGGGAAATTACCTTAGTGACATTATTGGAATGGATAATGAGAAAAATATAAAAGATCTGTTACATCCATTGGTTAGTAATTACCCAGACATAAGGTAAGTGTTATAATAACTTTGAATATATTACTATTTTAAAACAATACATTGTCTTGTTCACTTTACTAATACATGTAGTATAGCTATCATGGATTTTCACTTTTCATTTCTAGCAAGAAGCAGTTGTCAGCTGTTCTGTCCTTCAGAGACAAAGGTTTTAGCTTGGAGAAGCACAATGTTATTAATCACTTTACTGTGCTTAAACGGGATGCTGGGAACACAAATCATGAGCACTCCTTCTTCACTGACATTGAGGTACTTTTCACAATACATTGCACTGAATCCTAATGTAGTGAGTCAAAATATCATGTTTAATTTAAATAAATGTATAAAATAAACTAATGAATTGAAATAAATTTTAACTAAACAAGTGGCATGACTGATTCTGATCATATCACTGTACTACCTTACTTAAGTACACTTTATAAATGTATGTATTTTTAAGTACATAGGCTGACATGCATCCTCATTGAGTATCACACCTTTGTCTTTACAGTGAGTTTTCTTTTGGCAATTTTGATGCTTCAGGAACCATCATAGGGGGAAAAAATATTGCATCGTTTTTTTAAAAATGTGTACAGTACATTTTCTTGTTAGAATATACAGGCATTATTAGTGTATTTGGTGCATGATTACTTACATGTGGTGTCTATGTTCTGGTAAAAAATATCTGAAAAGACAGACATGTAGGCTGTGATCTTCACTGTGATATTCTGCTCAAATTAAAGAGCAATACAGCTTGTCTGTGTTCCTTCATGAGGCAACTTGTGCTATTTGCCTTTAACAATCCCTTATTTTAGAGCAATATAATCGTGATTATCAATTTAACCGTTGGTTGTTTGTACTTTTACTTACCAATAGAGGGAGACATTAAACTATAGACGCAATATTTGCATTTCCTCCATATTGCCTAATCATGCAAAAAGAGACTTGATGGATTCAGTCTGTTAATCTACTGTGATATCAATCATGTAAATGTGATGTATAAAACATTATGTCGGATCAAACCGAGTGTGTGCTGTGCAATATTAACTCCAGATGGACCAAGCTCTTGCAGCAAAACCGATTGGTTATTTACTGTAGATCTTGTCCTTCCCTCTTCTTGTTTGATGCAAATTTTAAACCTTTTTTTAGCCTAAACCTAATATACTCTCTGATTTTATCAGTGAGAAAAAAAACTTGGAGATAAAACCTGTAACTACAGTGTGTTATTGAACAAATATTTCCTTTCATATGGCGTCTGTACTGTCTAGTTTTGGGGATATTTCTAGAGATTTGGATGTGAAATGCCACATTTGTTTACATATTGATGTTTGATTTGGTCTTGTAGCCTACTATCTGTAATCTCTTACGGGATAAGCTTAAATTTATGTGAATGACAATTAAACATATTTTTATACCTTTCCACATGCAAATAGATTGTATGTGTTTGTGTGCGTGAGAGAGTGTGTTATTTCAGGACAGGCTGGCTTGTGTCCAGATGTCCTGAGGATTACAATCTTATCCACAGTCACTAGAATTAGATGTCATGAAATGGGTAGGAGGGGATTTTAAAGATATTTGTAGTTTGAAGATTGAATGCCATAGGTCTCTGGCTCGCCCACAAGTCCTCTTCAGTTAAAAATGACACTTTGCTCACCTCCTCTCACCTCCACATAAGCATCTCTATCACTTTTGCTTCCTACAAATCCATAATCCCACTTTTTCTTCAACTTGCCCTACTTAACGTGATCACAGGTCTGAATATTTGCCTTTTTTTCTCCTCTCCTGTCTCTCAAGAGGATGCAGCTTATTCAAATATCTTCTAGCTGATTTGTATACAGAGACAGAAGGCAGCCGATGACTTCCTGGGTGTCATGTGATTGTGAAGATTTGTGAGACTCAAGTGTGTGTATGAAAATGCATGTCAGTGCCGCTGTCTCTGGTGCTCAGTAAGTATTATATTTAGCTCATCATAGCATTCCTGATGTCAGACGCGTTCCAGTGCTCTCTCTGTCTCTCACCCTGTCTTACCTTATCATGCAGGGCAGGAGTCATGCTGAGATACAACACACACATGCATGTAATCAACACATCAGTCGTGACAAATGCTATCAGGTTTATTGAAAGCCTCATGAGGTTCACTAGACCCACTTTATATCACTTCTTCGCCGGAGGGCTAATGAGGCTAACATCAGTTGCAGGATTTAACACTGACATTGTGCTGATGAAAAAAACACAAGTTGAAAAAAATACAAGCAAACTTAAAGCCAGAGATATATTTGGACAGAGATCTTTCCTTCTCTCAGTCACTTTTTATACACATTTCTTACATATTTATGCTCCATATGGAGGTTCTGTTTCTTATCAGACAAAGAGCTTTGATTACTATTACTATTGCACAGCATCTGTGTTTTTCCAGTCATCCCTAAACTTAGCTGCACCAATGCATAATATTCACCCTAACAACCATCCAGAACACACAAGCAGCCACTTTTACACAGGCAAACACCACTGTTTCTTCAAACACACATAAAAATTCATTTTGCTTTGAAATCTTAAATTTTTTAAATCTTGTTTTAATGGCTAACGAGGGCTGAGCACTGGTTCAAATGTTGATTATTGCTTCACTAAGAATATTTGCTGTCAGAGAGAAAGATTGTGATTGAGAGTCACCATCGAGAGCTGAACTGCATTATGGGTAAGAATAGACAGAATTGGTAACAAAGGCAGAAGTGTAGCCCTCAAGTCCCAATGCGTCTCATTTGATTCAGTTTTATCTTGATGGTGTATTTTTAAAAATCAATAATAACATGAGAAAATGAATTGACCTAGATTGATCCAAAGCAGGCAGATTCACACTTCATGACTTAGTTTCCATTCAGATACCCAGAGGCAGTATCTTCTGAGTTGAGTGTTTATATGCTGTCTGACTGGATCCCTTTGATGTAAAAGTATAAATATTGTTTGGCAGTTGAATATGCCTCTATGCTCCCTAAATGAAAATAAATTAACAAGGATAGGTTTCACATTTTATGTGGCACCAAATGAACTGACCCTTCTGATCTTTATGTCATTGTGTAAGCTGACCTAAGCCTCACCCTCAGTTCACCGAAAGGCTTATAATAGAGTTCTCATGAATGCTGTCTTCACAAACAAGCACTGACAGACAAGTGACAAGCTCTTCATGATCCATCTGTCACCTGAGCCAAACCTGCCTGAGTAGGTGTAACAGACTACACAAATAAGCAAATGCATATACACTACCAGTCACACAGTGAGAGAAAACAGAGAGGTGTGAAACTAATCAGTGTGCACCAAGGTCACGAGATCATCAAAAGGATGATGTTTAGGAAACTGTCTATTCAGTGTCAGTGTCATGTCACTGATCCACATATCAACAATAATTTTTCCAAAAGATACAGAACCCAAACCAGAGTTTGGTTAAATCAATAGAGAGAAAAGAAAATGTGCTGTTTTCTGATTCTGAAGTTTATGATGGTCAAATATACGTATATAGCGATATCACATGAGCATGAGTATTGCAACTCTAGATGCGCAGACTGATAGGTAATTTACATGCAATCTGCTAGCAATCACATCATTTACTACATGACACAAACTGCTGAATCTGTTGATTCTTCAGTCAATGTGATTGCCTGTTCAATATTTATATAGTGTGGTCCTGTGTTGATGGTAAGCTGGTTTTGAATCATGCTATCAGAGTTCCTCTAAACTCTCCACCTCCCCCAGCTCCACCTGTCTAGATTTGCTATGGGATATAGGTATGCCTATTTGTGTATCAGCAGAAAAGATACATTTATACTAAAATAAATAAAACAACTTGAATTCTCCCTCATTTATATAGGCTAACTGAGACATAGTAATTCAAAAAAGACCTTAAAATGCCACATAACCAAAACTCAAAACTTGTTATAAATCTGTTCCTTTACAAGAAATGTCTGAATAAAACCAATTCACTAAAATGAATCGAATTTTCCAATTTTATTAATGAGAGATAGATTGCTGAACCATTTCCACAGCGTTACTATATTCTAGTAGCTTTAATAGTGTAGACTGTCATCAGTGTGGGCCAGTGCCATCCTGGTCTTTTTGATATATATTTATATTATTATATATTACTATTATGATTTATGTAGTAAATAATCAATAAGCTAATTTAGAGTAACTTAACAGAACATTGCAAGTTACTGTTACAGAGGAGGCTTCCGTACTGCCTCCTCCTCACCACCAGAGGGAACTCTCTCCTGAATATTAACTTTATCCATTCGAACTCTAGTTCCCATCATGCCTCATACCTGGGACTGATTGCACACACACACCTGCATTGAATCACGCACACACACATTTAAGCCAAACACTCACAGCAACTCATTGTGAAGTCTTGATTTGCCCCGGCTGTCACTTCTGAGCGTTTACCCTGTATCTTTCCTACTTGTTTGACCTTGGACTGTTTATCGTACTCTGATCTGTCTCTGCCTGCCCTGACTTGGATTGTTCTACTACTGTGTTTGTCTGCCACCTGCCTCGACCTCCTGCCCATCCCACATTCTGTCTCAGCCTAGCCTCCGCTATTGTATCTACTGGTGATTGACCCTGTCTTGTCTGGTTACGCAATAAAAACACTGCAAATGGATCCTGACTCTGATGATGATTCGCAACAGAAGACCTCGCCGCACAGCGATCCAGCAGCACTCAGGCAATTATCCACTGAGCTATCTGCGCAGGCCACACAGCTTGCCATGCATCACCACCAACTAAACCGGCTTACCTCACTCACCGAGGAGTTAGTGAAGGCGCTGCAAGGCCTACAAATAACGCCACCCGCGGCTGCAGCCACTCCAGCCCCGGCGCCTCATCACTCCACGCCACCCCTAACATCACCCACATCCCCAGTGAGTCCACGACTAGCTTTCCCAGAGAAGTTTGACGGAGACCCTGCCAGATGCCAAGGGTTCTTGCTTCAGTGTTCGCTCCTTTCCCACAGACTCTAGCTGCATTGCCTTTGTGTGTTCATTGCTCACGGGGAGGGCGCTGGATTGGGCTACCGCTGTTTGGGGAGTGGACGGCTCTTCATTCCCCACCTTCACAACATTTCTTCAACACTTCCACAAAGTCTTTGAACATCCCGCGGAGGGGAAAAGTGCAGGAGATCAACTGTTGACACTTTCGCAAGGAAGGAGACCGGCAGCCGGGTACGCTCTGTCCTTTCGCACCCTTGCCGCCCAGACAGGTTGGATCGAGGACACATTAAAGCTCCTGTTTCGGAGGGGACTGAATTTGGAGCTCCAGTCAGAGTTGGCTTGCCGAGGTGGGGGGAAAAGTTTGAGTGAATTCATTGAACTCTCCATTCAAATTGACAATTTGATCCGCTCACGACGTCCTACTCGGGCCATGCCTCGATTCACGCCAGAGACCAATGCCATACCAGAGCCCATGCAGCTGGGCTTCACTCACCTCACTCCCGAAGAACGCGAGCACCGAATGCAGAACCAACTGTGCCTCTACTGCGGTCAGGCTGGGCACATGATATCCTCCTGCCCGGTCCGTCCATCATCCAAACCTCGATCGGTGAGTGTCAACAATCGGATCACTACTTGCCCTTCAAGCATAATGGTACCGGTTAAAATAACTGTCAGTGATAAAACGATTACCTCTACCGCCCTGCTAGATTCCGGGTCGGCTGGAAACTTTGTTTCACATGAATTCGCCTTGCAACATAACCTCACACTTACCCCTTGTAATTTTCCTTTGGCAGTGGAGGCGCTAGACGGCCGACCCATCGGAGAGGGGAAAGTGTTACGTATTACCGAAGAAGTCAAACTGCAAATAGGAACCCTCCATTCTGAATCTATCAAATTCTACGTCATCCAGTTTCCCAATCATGCGATCATTCTTGGACAAACCTGGCTGCTCACCCACAACCCATGCATTTCCTGGAGAGAGGGACAAATCATTCAATGGGATGCTACCTGTCAAGACTGCTGTTTATCAAGGATCACACGGTCACCCCTCCAGGATTCGGTTCCATCTGTTCAACCCACTGACGAATTAAACCTGCCCTCCGAATATGCCGATCTAGCCGAAGCCTTCAGTAAAAGGAAAGCTTTACAACTCCCAACTCACCGATCCGTCGATTGCACCATAGATCTGATACCTGGCGCCACCCCTCCAAAGGGGAGGATCTTGAATCAACCTGAATCAGAAGCTATGAAGGCCTATATTGAGGAGGAACTGGTTAAAGGATTTATCCGACCCTCGACTTCTCCTGCCTCGGCGGGGTTCTTCTTCGTAAAGAAAAAGGACGGAGGGTTGCAGCCCTGCATTGATTACCGTGGCCTTAATGATATTACTGTTAAGTTTCGTTATCCTCTACCACTGGTTCCCGCAGCGCTAGAACAG